ATGAAATCCACTCAGAACCAGCTGAATAACATTACACAAACGAAATCTGAAAAGGATTCTCTTATTAGGACAATTAATAGACTATAAGAAAAGCAGTTATGTAAACCAAGCAATTCCCTGACTTAATAATGCTTTAGTTATTCCCTTTCGATTGATTGGATGCCACACAGCATTGAAGTCTGTCAAATAGTCCTTAAAAAACACATTTGTGATGCAGTCCCTCTATGAGATTTTGAACGTTTTGAGTGACACATTTGACTGAATAATAGGCAATACAAATGGTTGTTCATCAGGTTATGCAAGTTAATGCTAAGTAAGGTTTCCCTCAGTCTTTATCACAGCATACGGAGACTTTCAAAACATCAAGAAAGGCGATCTGAGTATGACATTCGAATCAACGCTGCAGTAAGACGTTGTAATGAATGCTAGATACTCCTGAAGAATTTTCCCAAACCCGATGAATTATAAAAACAACGAAACAATGCACAATTTGCTCACATATACACCACTGATTTTAATAATTCACCCGAATTTAACCAATGCTTTACAATGATACCACGTGTTCAGACAAGCCAGACGAAAACGAAAGAATGAAGGGACTGGCCACTGATTGACGATAAACCTCAGATTTAATGCATGAGCAATAAAGATCTCTTCAGACAAGGATCCAGTGTATATAGACAAGTACGCTGATGCGACATACCTATCATTCCCATCCTAAGTCATGAAATAAAATTGTGTGATTTGAGAAATCCTTCACTATGCTTAATATTGTGGATTAATTAGCAGTGGTCAGGAGTTCTAGGTTCTCAACTGGCTTGCTTTCAACTAGTATAGCATTTCTAAAATCTGAAGGGAGCTCATCTTACCACAGACATTCAACCTTGTTTCACTGAGTAGTGAGTCAACAGCTTTATATTTGAGATACTCAGGCGTTAAATCAGAGAAATGACCATTTAGCATTCAGGTTACGACTGACAACATGTAGGATCAGACTGTACTGACCAACTCTCAGATTCGCATTTTTAAAATACGGTGCAATACAGTGTCATGTTAACTAGGTAGGTGGTCACATTGAAAAACTTGATCAATGGACTTCGACTAGTGCGTAGCACTCCAAACCAGACAGCTACGTCGACTATCCATTGGTGACCGATTCGCGTGCATACCTGAAAACAGAAGCGGTATTTCATTCTTTCTTTGTCTGATATACTTCTACTGACTCATCTGGTATACTAACCATGAATGTCAGTGGTGATTCACTCTATCTGTTGGTTGGAAGTATTTATTTGTCTTCAAGAATATGTCACTGAGTATTGACAGTTCTTGGTGAATTCTATGAATGTAAGTACACCTATGGTGGAATCGAAGTATTTCAGGTTTGTCGTTTCACTTCAAATAATGAAACCTGAAACCACCAAATATTCCATTCACGAAGACTTGGAGTTACATACTTAGTGCTTAGTGCTTAGTGCCCCATTCTTATCATGATACTGAGACATGCTTTATTCAATACCCATATCACTGACTTCAAGATTGATTCTGTCGAGCTTTCTCTTGGGATTGGAACCACTCAGGGATCACGACACTAGATTGACAGCCTTTCCCAAATCATTAAAACAAGTTTCTGAATCTAACCTCAATATTTTCTAAAACTGGTTTACTGGAAAAACTGATGTCAGCTTTTCTGATAAACAGATCCACTGTTCGACTACTTTGAGGAAAATATAGAATATGAACTCACATTAATTTCAACTAACACTGACATGAATTTTGTCATGTAGAGAATAGGAGAGTGATAGATTAGTGGTTATTAATCGTTTGAGATATGAAAGGAAAATGTCGCATAATCTAAAAGCCTTCAACCAGATAAGGAAAAGATAATTTAGAGTGCCCACTGATTCCCGCAGAAATAACTATAAATCCTTTAAAGTAATCTAGCATATAAACGATAAATATTTTAAAACATGATAGCTTTCGAGAGACATAAATTTGTCACTTGATCGCAGTACTTCAAAAAATGTTTACATAGTTTCAGTATAGCCCCCTAAGAACATGCCAAATTAAGCTTCTAAAAACTCTGTGAAAAGATAAGCGCGCTTGAAAACTTTCCACCAAATAAGTTAGATAATTATCCACAGTTTAACTGAAAAACTGAGTTCCACGAATTCGGATCATCTGATCAATCCTGATAAGGCATCATAATTAAGAAAGACTAAGGAAACATGTACTTCACCTCAAAGTAGAAACACTGATTATCAATTCGCCATCGAAAACTAATAGACACAGTATACATGAAACATGCGAAACATTGTAAATGTGACAAAGTGCAAAACACAAATACAAACATTGTCGCTTTTCATTTCAAACAATCCAACAGTAATTGTTACGCGTCACAATATCATTCGACTAAGATTGATGCTGAAGTAGTAAGCACAGACGGTAAAATGTAGCACGCTTTTCCACCTACTTAAATTTGGAAGTTTGTGACGACTGATCGATCTCAAGGTAGTTTCTGTCATGAATCGATTTCAGTTATAGCCACGTTGGAAACCTGAAAGTGACTAGTAGCTGTTCCATCCTAGTACATGTTTCTTCAGCAAAGTACACTCAACCACACCACGAGTTGAAACAAGTAGAGTCAACTTTCGTGGTGATAGCATGACCAATAAACCACTGAGTTGGAAATTAGCGGTTCTCATCTTTCCACTACTATCAATTCACAGAACAGTACAACCATCATCCAGTGTCATCAGTGAATATTCATCCTCATGCCCAAATTGACGGAGCCTACACGTCACAGTTCCTCATCAGAACTTCACAGAATCCATCTCGAAGTATATCACCAATGAGCATTGAACAGAATCTTAGAATGGCAGTTTGTATAGACTAGTCATTTGCGAGAGGGTATTCATCTTGAAGTGATGTCAATTTGAGAAGAATTGGAAGCCTGAAATTTCATCAAAGGAATTCATCATCACCTAAGTGACAAACCATCACACATTCGAAGTCCGAAGCAGCTAACTAGCTCATCACGAAGTTGAAGATGAGGATGATGATTTGTGATGATACCGACTATAAATATTCACACAACCACTTTCAACCAAGAATCTAAATGATCTCAAAAACACTTCATTATGAGGTATCTCCTGATAATATCATCCACTCCAATCACAAAACATTCAATGTTATCTCTGAAAACTACGATTAAATCAGCCAGAATTCACTTATTAACACTTAGAACTGTACAGCACAATGAGCCAATGTGCAGAGACACGAAATTCATGCACTCATCTTATTCATTCCTCTTTCATACGAGTTCGAGATAACGAAGTGAATCACTAAATATCTGGTCAAAATGTCAATAAGACAGTCTTCAAACTGTTCAAAATAAGTTATATGCTAGGTGCAAACGCAGCAATCAACTCTGCAAGGCTTTGAATCACACCAATCTAATATTTCCACATGCCTTTATCCAAAGCAAAGTTCTTATACAATCTGTCTCAGTATGCAAAAAATACACAAACAGGAAATATTGAAGACCGATATAACTACCATTCAAAGACCGCATAAATACAGCTTGAATCTAATTACATGGTGTTAACAGTGCAGCCTTGGTATTAGGTGTGAGCAGTTAATTACATCACGATGTCATGCTGATTGATTCCTTTCAGAATGTAATGCACCACAGTAGTGTTGAATCACTTACCCTATCGGTCTTACATAGTTGATCGATAGATATCCTGAAAACCTAACCTGATGCAGAACGAAAAACCCTAGAAATATAATCTATCTGAAAAGAACGCAGTCATAGTCATACATACTGTCACATGCAGTCAAGCAATGGAAAGACATACAGTGATCACTTTCAAAAACAACTTGGGCAGTTAGACGAAGATATTGACAGTGTTAAGCTTCATTCTTTGAATCGATATCTGGGAGGTGTAATACAAATGGTGTATCAATAATTCTCGAAGTGTGGAGGATTTCACCACCAAATAAAAGTCTCCGTCACACACAGTGACCTGAATGATTTGGAAGTAAAAACACTGCAATCAAAATGCAAAGCACACAATGTCAGGATACGTCGAAAGAGATGAGTGCTTTACTAACGAGAGGATCTAAGCACAGCAATACTCAAATATATCACAGATGATATTCAACAGAATAACTGTTCAGATGCCAGTCTAAAAATCTGGGATAGCATCGGACCAGGCAACTGGAGGTCGATATTTTCAATCCTGACACGACCAAGATTTTCACTTAAGCTTCAATCATCACCCACTATCAACAATCATTATATAACTTTACTGATGACCATAGAATACAAATTAACCCAATGAATCTCATATCCCAGTCACCTGTTATACGATATATCACGCAATAACAAGTCTTCACATCACCGAGTAAACCAACAAAACAAATCGAAACATTTCACCAGTAAGACAGAATAGAACGGAGGAGTATTTTCTTTCTTCATGAAGCAATGAATAAATCTCATAAAGTGTTGATATGTAGTATACAGATGGAGGAAACGTTTATGATGAGGGATAATGAGAACTGTGATTTGAGTTCAACAATGAAGTAATTCAACATCAATTGAGTGTGACGATCATATTGAAAAAGAAGAAACAGACTTTCAGTATTCATCAATTTAAGCGTATGAGTACACCAGCAAACGTGAAGACAAATTCAATATAAGTTAGAATTCATGCATGCGAAAACATCTCGATAACCTCATTCTAAGACCTTGTCTAGCCATATCTGAAAGCCTTCATTTGTTTCAAACAGTCAGTAGAAGCAACGTTCTTAACATGAGTTTATAAATAGAAACCATGATCCTCGAAGAATTCAGAAATTATCTAACTCTACCGTTAAACATAACGTGAAGTCTCACTGCTACGTAAAACAGAGAATAATATCTCGTGAAAGCGAAGTGAATTGAAATCCCCTTCACGCATAATGACATGGTGTATACAATCCATGATACAAGTATAATCTTATATACTCACATAATCCAGCAACACAATAGATACTCTTCGTTGTAAGCATAACCTGAATATTATAGAATTGACAATTCTGTGGAAAGTGATAACAAAAACTTTCGGAGAATGACTGTCAAGACGTCCTGTCAATTCAAAGATATCTTCCCATACGGTCTAAAGCTATGCACGGTAAGAGGCACCACTTATGGCGTTCGTAAATCTAGACATCTCGCTAATTCAAAAGTATTGTTTCGTATTTCACCATTCAAGCTTCAACCGTGGTTCCATAAACATCAAATATTTCTTAATTCAAAGTAAACTGTCAGGTACGTTGGTTCAGTTTCGCACCTTCTAAATGTCATCAGCCAATAAAAATGGTCAGTAGGTAGATACCTCTTCCCAAATATTGTGATTACCTGTATAAACAGTCATGCAGATCAGATGAACGAAATTGAGTGTAACATGAATCTAGTTGGTGATTAGTATTTATGAATTTGATAGTGAATTTTGAGGAGAATGGTATAAATTTAAACGTCGACATTGTCTGCATCTCATTCTGAATTAATTCACAAACGACAGCACAGCTATGTCGTGATGACAGTAAATTAGGCATCAAATTACTTTTCGGAAATTCTAAGATCAATGATCCTCTCCTTTCATGTATACTGTTATTCATCGACATCACAGAATCACTCAGATAGTTCCCATCACGCCAATCCAACTTCGATTTCAATCCTGAAGCGACTTCTGGTAATATATTAACAAGACTAGTCCAAAATCTTCCAGTTGAATAATTCTTGCCATGCAACCAATCAGGATAGTTAAAACCCAATAAACAATACTTTTTATCGATTGTCTTCAATGTGGCACAAAGTTCATTGGCTTGACAAAAGCTGCGCGAAACTCCATCGTTGACTGTAACAAATCGTCCGTCTGTTTGGGGTTTCGAGCAATAAACATGGTAGTTTAGAATGATAAATATTTGCATTATCGCAGTGAACGCCTTCATCATGATAAAATGATGGAATCTATAACACATTTTGTTCCCTGGGATATCTGCTGGTTAACATTATGAGTAGAAGCTTAAAACGTGAATAAAATAAAATTATGAACTGACATGCATTCTATTGTATATTTTTATCAATGTGAACAATAAGATGAGTTACAGTATTTCGTCAAATTTATAACTGATGTGTTGCTTTTATAGTGTTACATGATTGATAGGAAGACTGAAATGAATAAGGAAATATTATAATGAAGCAAACAGCTTAAACGACGCTACACCATCAAGTAAAATTTATAGTTTCCAATGGTTAGAGCAAATTTGCTCAGTTATATGTACTTTAGTTTCAACAAACGGATACAGGCAAATTGATATGATGGCAATATGATGAGAAATATGTACAGATCATTGTGAACAAGTTCGATAATAAACTCAAAATGTAAACGTTAATACAAAGTTAGTGCCATTGTATTTGTCTTGTAGTCTGATTGGATTTTGAATTCTTGAGAAGAATAGAATATTGAATTACGAAACAGTGACAGTTTTATTCAATAGACGGCGCATCTAGCACAGCTTACTCTTTCTAGCCTTATCAGATTATTCATACAACTTTCTTACTTTGTTCTGAAAACTCTGATATTCATTTGTGGATTTATTAGCACTACAATTTCCCACATATCTAGAATCATTGTATTTACTCCTGTTGTACCTGTAAGCAGTTGACTCTAAACACAATAATTCAGTAACTAGACTTTCTTGCCACCTAGTTGTAATTTGCTATCAGTGGATGACTGCAGTTATTTCTGGAACACGTGTTTAGACTCTGGCTACGCGGTAGTACGGGCACGATTATGTCTGAGCTGTATTGATCATAGAGAACAGACGACAGTCAAACCGCCGACTGGAAAATGACAGTATCAAGTAGGTATTTATCTGAGTGTGACAGCGATGCTTATCCTGAAGAAATCTGGCATGATGTTTAGTCTAGTGTAGAAATGGGGGTGAAGACAGTTGGTAACCTGCATCCAAATGTCAACAAACGTCAATAGACTTCCACAACGTCATCCGAACTGATCGAGGAGATAAGATTCATTCCAGGTGGATGTGACAGCAATGATCGGTGAAAACAACTTAAAGCTAAATTGATCGAAATTCTTCGCCATGACCGTGAGCAGTGGTGGACGAGGAAAGTGAGAGAGAAGGAGAAGACATCAACTCTGTATAACACGCACCAACTATTTACGCTTATTAAGGATACTGTTAAGCAAGATACGATTGCCAATGTAACCACCATCCAAACGGTTGGGAAACTAATAACTCGTCAGGAGAGATGACTTCATTTCTGACCAGAATAGTTTGTGTAAAATTCAACTAAGCTGCTGATATGTTTTCGTTTTCAATCAACCACTTCAAATCTCGAGCAGACTCAGACGTCCATCCCATATATGTTTTATTGAAAATTGAGAAGGCTATTTTGAACCTGAAAGTATACAGCGGAGCAACACTTAACGCTTTTTGACCAGAAGCCTTTTAGGATGAAGGTAGAAAATTAATGAGTATAGTAACAAAATTACTAGGCAGTTTATAGAGGCCGGACGTAGTCCCGTCAGAATGGTCTACTTAACTATTCATTCCGGTCTATAAGAAGGGGAGGAACTCTTCTTGTGACAAACACAAAAAAGTCAGTTTTCCAAAAATATGCAAAATCCTACTGTCTACAGTTGTCCAAAAAATAACGCCAATGCCTAACTGTCATGAGAAGATATCAGTTTCCCAACCGTTTGGATGGTGGTTACATTGGCAATCGTATCTTGCTTAACAGTATCCTTAATAAGCGTAAATAGTTGGTGCGTGTTATACAGAGTTGATGTCTTCTCCTTCTCTCTCACTTTCCTCGTCCACCACTGCTCACGGTCATGGCGAAGAATTTCGATCAATTTAGCTTTAAGTTGTTTTCACCGATCATTGCTGTCACATCCACCTGGAATGAATCTTATCTCCTCGATCAGTTCGGATGACGTTGTGGAAGTCTATTGACGTTTGTTGACATTTGGATGCAGGTTACCAACTGTCTTCACCCCCATTTCTACACTAGACTAAACATCATGCCAGATTTCTTCAGGATAAGCATCGCTGTCACACTCAGATAAATACCTACTTGATACTGTCATTTTCCAGTCGGCGGTTTGACTGTCGTCTGTTCTCTATGATCAATACAGCTCAGACATAATCGTGCCCGTACTACCGCGTAGCCAGAGTCTAAACACGTGTTCCAGAAATAACTGCAGTCATCCACTGATAGCAAATTACAACTAGGTGGCAAGAAAGTCTAGTTACTGAATTATTGTGTTTAGAGTCAACTGCTTACAGGTACAACAGGAGTAAATACAATGATTCTAGATATGTGGGAAATTGTAGTGCTAATAAATCCACAAATGAATATCAGAGTTTTCAGAACAAAGTAAGAAAGTTGTATGAATAATCTGATAAGGCTAGAAAGAGTAAGCTGTGCTAGATGCGCCGTCTATTGAATAAAACTGTCACTGTTTCGTAATTCAATATTCTATTCTTCTCAAGAATTCAAAATCCAATCAGACTACAAGACAAATACAATGGCACTAACTTTGTATTTGTCGAGCTCTGAAATCTGACTCCAAATTTTATACACGTGTCCAGATACACTATCGCCTATTTATAATTCCCGACACTGCTGATCCACCTGCGTCAGACAGCGTAAATATCAGGAGTTAACGCGAAGTATATATCAGGATGTTGTATTAGTCAACGAGCGAGCAAAAAGTCTTTTTCAGTACAACTAAACAAAAAATGTTCAATGAGTTGTTACATACATCAACACAATACAGTGAAATAAAATGCTACATAAGTCCCTCCCCAGAATACAGATATAAGAGGGAATATCTGTGTTCGATATAAAATATTATGAGAAAGGTAAATTCATTTTGAAGATATTAAAAACATAGGAGGAATGTTAAGGATATCTATTATCAGGATGAAAACTGATTGGAAGAGTGTTTACATAAAAATGAAGTGTATGACATTCGAAACACTAAAATAACTTTACCAAAGTAATAATATATCCGGAGATAAAAAAATTAACAACCAAAATCGTATTACCTGGAACATTGTTAAGAAATAAGAGATTCGGAAGTCCGTGGTGCCCGGAGAAAAAATTTTGTTTTGTGTATGCGGAAAAGTCTGACAAAATCGTGTGGTCATGTTTTCAACAAGGTAATGAGCAAAAACGATAATAATGTTACTAGGGAATTGGTTTTATGAAATGTAAATTGTCTGAAAGTAACGTCGTGGCCAACGGACTCTTCTTCCGGATCTCGTGGTTCTGCTACCGTCGCTACTATTGGGTGATTCCGATGCCGTTGTTTCTGTTTTGACGGTGGTTTTCGGTGTTTCCGGTTGCTTCACTGCGGGTTCAGACTTGGTATCCGTGACATCTGGTTCCATAAACGCTGGTTTGATTCTATCAATGCTGACCGTTTCTCGTCTACCCGAGCGTTCGACCGTGACAACTTTGTCTGATTTACTAATTACCTTGAAAGGTCCTTCATACGGGGGCTGTAAGGGTTTTCGTACGCCGTCGTGTCGGACGAAAACGTGAGTGCAGTTTGAGATGCACTGAGGTACGTAAACTTGGTTGTCTCGGTATCGTGGGGACTGAGGTCGAAGTGTGCTCATGTGTCGCCGTAGTTGTTGTACATAGTTAGTCAAGTCCGGTGGAACGTCTGTTGCCGGGTTAAAATACTCTCCTGGCAATCTTAAAGTAGTTCCATAAACTAACTCAGCAGTACAGCAGCCAATGTCCTGCTTGACACTCGAACGTATACCAAGGAGTACTAGTGGTAATTTGTCACTCCACTTGTCATCAGTCTTTACTGCCATCAGTGCTGCTTTTAGTTGTCGATGGAACCTTTCGACAATACCATTGGATGCAGGATGGTACGCAGTGGTTCTTATGCGCTTGATCCCGAGAAGTTCAGTTAACTGTTGAAATAGACTACTCTCGAACTGCGCACCTCTATCTGTGGTGATGACACTTGGGACACCAAAGTTAGAAATCCAGTGTTGGATGATATTTCTCGCTACTGTTTCGGCAGATATATCCTGCAGAGGTATTGCCACTGGCCATCTCGTGAATCGGTCTACACATGTTAAAATGTAGCTAAAACCATTTGACGGAGGTAGTGGTCCAACGATGTCAACGTGTATATGGTCAAATCTGCCATCCGGTGGGAAAATCTTCCCGTAGGTGAAAGAATATGTCTTTGCACTTTCGATCGCTGGCACGCTAAACAAGCTCTGGACCACTGTCGAAGATCTCGATTCATCTTTGGCCAGACGTATCGGTCAGTAATTAACTTCACCGTAGCTCGAATACCAGGATGTGAAATGCCATGCATCTTAGAGAAGACTAATCGTCTCATTGATAACGGCACAAACGGGCGCGGTTTACCCTTGGATACATCACAGGTGATGGATACAGAGTCATCAAGTGTCACTTCTTCAAGACGTAATGAGGTGTTCACATTGTTTTTCAAATGTTTCAAGTCCTCATCCGTGGCCTGCAACTTTGCCATTTCTGCTAGGTCAATACGGTCACGTTCTAAGACGTTTACGTACATACGAGACAAAGCATCAGCTGCCTCATTTTTGCTGCCTTTGATATACCTTATATCTGAAGTGAATTGTGAAATAAATTCTAAATGTCGAATTTCTCGGGGCGAGTAGTTGTCATGCTTTGCATCAATTGCTTTTGTGAGTGGCTTATGGTCGGTGAATACTATAAATGAGTACCCTTCGAGCATATATCTGAAGTGCTTGATAGCCAAGTAAATCGCCAGTAGCTCTCTGCCGAATGTACTGTATCGCGATTGAGAAGCATTAAGTCGTTTCGAGAAGAAAGATAATGGTTCCCACTGACCGTGAACAAACTGTTGTAGTACTGCGCCTAC